CAACTATGTGTCCTCATTCATCCTGATTTTTTGTGTGAAATCTACATCTTTTAGTCTCAAAACTTCATGTTGTTGTCTTTATTTTATGTATTGCATTATGATGTTTTGTGAAAAATCTGTACATGATGGAGAAAAAATGGATATAATTTTCTGAATCAGCATACAGGAGTTACTGTAAAATATGTAAAAATTTCAAGACAATAAAACCATCGCAGGCCTGTGTAATTATTGATTGGTGGTCTTTTTGTTGAGAGTGTATTCTTTATAGATAAGTAAGTTTTAATGGTCAAGTCAAAAATACATGATTTGTTGTTTTTTTTACTCTAACATAAAGTTCTTATTATATTACTGAATAACCATTACATATAGGAACTTTTCAACAGGGTAAATGTACTATAATTTCTTATTTGGTATTTGCCACAGGAGTTTAACTTAGGTTTCATTAATTGAAAATAAAAAAAAAGTTGTTAGTGATAAGTAAAGCAATAAACAATATTGTTTTGCACATCACATACTTTGATCACCAGTAATTATCCCATGTTTGCTTAAAAAAATCATTGGAGTAGGATGGTGAGTGCTATCAATATATTTTTTACTACTGTGGCCACCTTATTCTTTGACCACTTTATGGCATTTTCCAGAAAAGGTTACTTTGTGTTATTTTATCTGAAAAAGTTAGTGTTAAAATAAATCTATAGAAATAGATTGGTAAATAAGTCTAAGTAACTATTTAGAACCATAAAAAAAATTATATTGAATCAACACCAACAATATAAATTGAGCATTCCTTCATATAAGATCTGTGTGAGTGACAAGATATAGTATTGAACTTTACTTGTGGATATAGAAACATACATTATTTTCTGAATGTACAGCATCATCTAGGTAAAAACATTTTTTTTTTTTTATAAACAATAAAAACCCTATAGCCCAAGTGCTTTCGAAAGGTGAACCTTTCTTCTTCAGGGGCAAACTGAGATTTTTTTTTTCTTGTACAGAATATCTTGGAAAAAAGTTGGAAGAGTATGTTTCCAAACTGGAAGTTCCTGTTAAAGTAAGTCTTTTATGCTGAGAACATAATGTAAAATGTGTTAAGATAAACGTTTCTTTTAAAAAAAAAAAACCTCAGTGTTTAATAGGTAATTATAGTAAATAAATATAAACTAATCTGCTTGTTGTTTACTGCTTTTAAATGCCTTATTAGCATGTGCTTGTTTGAAAGACATCTTTTTATTTATCATCTGTCTTTAGGAGAAACTAAAACAAGCTATGTTTTGAGTCAAATACCATATGTCAGTAGAAAAGATAAATACTGAGACTGAGTGGGATTTAGACCTGTGACTGTTTGCTGGATAGATACTTTAGCCAACCAAACTACTGCTTTCCATATGTTCAAGTCTTAGTTTTTACTTTATTTTTTTTTTATTAAGTAACAGTATTTTCAGGAGTTAAGAGCTATTCCAATCCGTTTATAAACCCGAGTATCTGCTGATTACACATTTTTAATTGTAAATGCCTATAAATGTTTCTAGGTATAGGAAGCTGAGGTGCAACTGAATTACATGACTGAGTTTTTCATCACTATCTTTAAAAGTAGTTAAATGAGTTTTAAATAAATGAAAATTGCATGATTGATTCATGTGTTGTTTTAATTTTTAATCTTAGAAATACCATACGTCATATATTTTAAATTTGTTAGTCTGTAATACAACTAGACAATCAAAAAGGATGAAATTTTGCCAAAATTATGATGCTTATAAAGGAAGATGTTTTCAAAATTATCTGAATAAAATAGTACAAATAAGTGACCGTACAAAGAATTTAATGTTTGTAAATTAATTAACCTTAAGTCATATATGAGCTATATTTGTGAGTAATGTAGAAGAAAGCTAATCTTTTTTTTTAATATACATTTTCTCAAACAGTATCATCATTGCCAGTTGCATCATCCAGTAAACTATGATATTTCCTTCATCCCTACATAAACAGCTCCCTCTTGTGTAAACCAGTAGTTTTGTTTTAGTGGTTATCACTTTTGGTTTTGCTTGTTTGTTCTGAAAAGCTGCTACACAGTGGCTATTTATCCATAATTTTAAACATATAGACAAGAGGAAAGGTAGTTATTCAATAGTACCCATCACTAACTCTTGAGTTAGTCAAATTCCATTACTTGATTATACTATTACACTTGTAATGTATCCTTTGCCACAAAGAATAGAACACAGTTTAGAAAATAGGACACACACACCATGGGCCCTCAGATTCACAGTCCAACACATCATTCTTGATACTTTCATCAACACTGCATAAACTGACTTAGAAACAGAAAACCAGTTCTATGCTAAATTAAATTTCTGGTAATGTAGTGTTTGGTTATTTATTTCTCTATAGGTTCTTCGAACTGGTAGAAGGTCGGGGCTTATAAGAGCACGACTTCAAGGGGCATCTGAGACAAAAGGTCAAGTTATCACATTTTTAGATGCCCATTGTGAATGTACTACAGGTTGGCTTGAGCCACTATTATCCAGAATTGCTGAGGACAGGTAAATGTTTTTATTTTATCAGTTATTTTTGACTGTATGTGTGCTAATTCTGGTGTTAATAAAGGAATTTCCAAAACCTACAATAGAAACTGTTGAATTGTTTTAACATTTATTGAAAAATAATATAAAAAAACAATCGTGTATATTTTCATAATACACAATGGTAGGCATCTAGTTATCATCTTCCTAACTAAGAGCGGCCTTTGGACAATGTTGTATTACATTAAATTTAAGTAGTATCTTATTAAAATCAGTTAATATCTGTTAACATATGCAAAATTTATCATTATGTAAAAAAGATTATTTACCATGTCCTGGGTGCAAAAGGATACTGTTTTGGTAGGCCCGGCATGGCCAGGTGGTTAGGGAGCTCGACTCGTAATCTGCGGGTCGTGAGTCGAATCCCCATCGCACCAAACATGCTCGCCTTTTCAGCCGTGGTGGCGTTATAATGTGACGGTCAATCCCACTATTCGTTGGTAAAAGAGTAGCCCAAGAGTTGGCGGTGGGTGGTGATGACTAGCTGCCTTCCCTCTAGTCTTACACTGCTAAATTAGGGATGGCTAGCACAGATAGCCCTTGTGTAGCTTTGCGCGAAATACAAAACAAACTGTTTTGGTAATTTAACACTAGTTAATTATACATTATTTGCTTTATTTGATGAATTTAGAATTTTCTTTGAATTTATAGAAAACATTTTATAATGAAATACAAGAGGAGAGAGTTTGAAAATTTATTTCAAATTATGAGAATCGAAAAAGAGATGTTTTTTACGGCCTAAGATAAATCTAAATAACAAAATCAAAACTTTCAGAACTTCAATAATCTTACAGTCCTTCTAAATCGTGAAAAAGTTTACAATGTTCATTTTATTTTTCAAACCAGTTATAAATCTTAAACCATGTCTTCACAAGTTCTACTGTTGAGGCCAAGTGGTAAGGGTGCTTGACTCGCAATTTGAGGGTTGCAGGTTCAAATCACCATCCCACCAAACATGCTCGCCCTTTCAGCCATGGGGGCATTATAATGTGGTCAATCCCACTATTCGTTGGTAATAGAGTAGCCCAAAAATTGGAGGTGAGTGATGATGACTCTAGTCTTTCACTGCTACATTAGGGACAACTAGCACAGATAACTCTTGTGTAGCTTTGTACAAAATTCAAAAAACAAGCTAATAAATCTACTGTTTACAACTAGGATTAATCAATTAAAAGTACACATCATGTAAAGGAGTCTTTCTTGTGCTTTGTTTTATGCCTTGAAGCACTGTACTGTGTAATATCAGCCAACTGTGAACAAAATAAGACAGGGATAGTTACTACTTGTATATATATTGTGGTCTATTTTTACAAAAACAAGTGTGGAAAATTTTGGTTCAAAAACATTAATAGCTTTTGTGAAACATTCAGATTATAATCACAGTTATATGATGAAACAGGGTATTATAAATGGCAGTAATTGTGAATGGTACCTTATTGAGAAATGCTAAATCAAGTTTTGCAATATATAATATGTTGGCAGTTTTATTGGTTATGAGTGAGATCAGTCCTTTGATAAAAAATGTTTTGTTGGAAGAAGCATATTTTGTGCATTGTTTTATACCACAAGAGGCAAAAGAACAGTAAGAAAGAGCCAATAATTTTTACCACATGCAAAATCTAAATTAACTTTTTATTTCTTCTCTCAAACAGGAGCAGAGTAGTATGTCCAATAATTGATGTTATTAGTGATGAAACATTTGAGTACGTTTCAGCATCGGACATGACATGGGGTGGCTTTAACTGGAAGCTCAACTTTCGTTGGTACCGAGTTCCCCAACGGGAAGTTGACCGCCGACAAGGTGACAGAACACAACCTCTCCGGTAAAGTATATTTCAGCATGTGTATGTGCCTGTAAAGGTGTAATCATCATGTGAATTGTTTATTTTGTATTATGTAAATGATAAAACTTTTAGCCTGATGTTTTACCATTGCTGCTGCATTCATGTAGTTATTTTCATAGTTAAGGTAAAGATTATTTTATTGTGGAAAAAAACACTTTAACTTTTTTGCAATAGGTTTATTCACCTTTAAAACTACAGAAAACCATTTTTCTTGAATATTATGCTTATTGCTGTGTTCTACTCACAGGTTAAGATTTTCTTGTCGATATATAATTAAATGCACAACTTCAGTCTCTATAGACTGATGTTAATCATGAATTAAAAGTGTAAAATAGCTGTTTATCATTTATTTAGTGAAATTGGTGTGATATATATATAAAAAAAAAAAAAAACATACGAGGACATTGTCATTATTCAAAGTATTTACTGGAGTTTAAGCCATCAAAAGCCTTCTTCACGTATTTAAAGTGAGAATTAACATTTGGTTTTATGATCTGTCTTATAATGAAGTGTCTTAGTATTTATACTTTTTATTTTGCATAGAGTTGAATATGTTTTATTAAAATGATTTTGAATATACAAATTGGCATATTATATTGACAACTACAGTCAATATAAAGTCACAATGGAATGGCATGTATTAGAACTACGTTTTACATTGCTTGGCATTTCATAAGTAGTGTGTGGACACCAAATATTTATTCCTTTTGACAAGGGTGGGTAACAGCCCTTTCCAATACAAAATATTCATACATTTAGATCATAAAGATGTCTTCAGATCAGGGATTTATAAATTCCAATATGGAGATGTTCCTTATACTTAATGGCATTGGAGAACAAAAGAATATATATCAACCTGGGGCACAGGAACTTTTCAGAAAGAGACCTGCAACAAGTTTTACCCTAGCCATGGTAAGAATGTAACAGGTGAGAATCCACAAACACAAAAGGGCACTGGCAAAAGCATTCCACCTATCCAACATAATAAAGAAAGATCTCCATCTGGAAAGTAAATCAAGTCATGTGTACAGAAATCACTTCCAGCTCATTTCTGTTCAACTGTCGCACACCTCAAGCAGCTGGAGAATAAAACAGATATTCTTGATATGCCATTTGAAGACATACCGGTCAAGTTGCCAGATGCAGAGCATATATCATTTTGTGTGATTGGATTATTGAAACAGGCACCCAGAAACCATTGTCATAGTACGAGGCCTGTGAGAAAAGTATCCGACCTTTATCCGGGGAGTAAAAACTGGCATACCTGGAGTGTTGGAAACCTAATCACCCTCAAAGTAGTCTCCTTGGGACTCCACACACTTCTCCCAGCGGTGCCGCCATTGTTGGAAGCATTCCGAGAAAGCTTCTTTCG